GTGCAATTTTATATGAAATAGTGCAGAGTCACACTGCTGACTTCACTGGGGTCACGGGAAGGTCACTGCATAGGTGGCAAAAACAAATCCCCTTCGACTAAACCAAAGAAATCCTGCTGCTTGCTGGCAGCGTATTAGATCCAGCGTATGACGCAAACCCATTTGCCTTACCACTGCTCAAAGTACCATGGAGAGCTACCAAAGCGCACCAAATCAGCACCAACCTGCAGTTCTTGTGACATGAGAAAGACCCCTCTATTGCCCTCTCATGCATCTACTGCTTCTTAAATAGCACTCACCTCCCACTGAAGCCTGGCCTGTTCTGTGCCTGAACTCACTCATGAGGCTAGAATTCAACCCATACCCAAAACACTGTCTTTGCCACCTCAAACACATTCTATGCTCGAAGTTCACCCTATTTCTGTTGTGTCCACTCAATGCGATTCCCTCTGTGTATAAGCACATACCCTGACTAGCCTTAATATCCAGTGATTGTGTGGGAGTAACAGGATTGCTGGGTAATTTCATTTTCCACTTAACGGAGAAGCAAGCTGAAGACGTGGTAGAGAAATTTTGTAGAGCTCTTTTAAGTTTTTCCATCTATACACAAGATCTTGGGCAGAACTTGGTCTTTCTTTCAAACTAGATTTTGTGGCCTTTGTGCTATCATGACATCCCTCAGCTACCATAAAATAAGGTCCCACCTGCTATAGATTTAAGAAGAGCTGGAGAGTTGATTATGCACATTCAAACAAACCCTAGAGTTAATTTTTACCATAACTTCATGAAAAAGATTTCAAACTGTTGTTCCTCATGTATCTAAAATATTTAATTCAGGCAGGGGAAGGGGGTGAAAAGAATCAAGGGAACTGATGATTCCAAACTGTCTGAGTTCTAGTTCACCAATGGAAAATTCAGCTGTACCTTATCCTCTCAGGAAATAAGTTTTCAATCAACTAGTAAGGTAAAAACCGAGAAAAGTCAAACCACTTGATTTCTAGCGTGACACTTGGTCAGGCTACCTCAGGAGTAGCTACCTCTCCACCAGTAGGTACCTCAGGCTACCTCTCCACCAGGAGTTTGCCCACCAGTGAACACTGGCCCTGTCTGGAGATAGGTGTGATGACGGTAGTGGGAGGGTACTACTGACACCTAGTGGGGAGAGATGCGGGGAGCCGTCGGGGAGCCGCAGAGGGGCATCCTCCAGTGCACAGTGAATTAAACGGTCCCTAAGGTCTACAGCCTAAGGTCTACAGCATAGGGACTGAGAAATTCTGAGCTAGATGGCTGTACCTCGAAAGGCAAGCCAGAGCTCAAGAGGGCTGATGGCCCATTTCTTGTTGGGTTCCCATCACTGGCTCAACCAAGATCCACCTCGTTTGTGGGAAATAAACACCTGCATGACTAGACTCCCCTCTTTATGCTGAGCATTAAGGTCCCCCTGCAGACTGCGTGCTGAAATAGGTGATAATTTACATACCTAATCTACCTAATTCTCAGAGCAATCATGAGATAGGTGTGGTCATCATTACCCCCATTTACTGGTGGGAAACTGAAATTCCCATTTAAGAAAATTTACTAAAAGTCAGACAGTAAGCAGCAAAATCAAAACACAAGCTCAGTTTTCTAGATGTCCCTACCCTGGTGCATTCTGCAATGTCTGAAACTGTTCTGGCTGTCACAAGCCCTCCATTAGGGGTATGTGGAGGGGAAGTGATCTCCTGGCATCTAGTGGTCCTGCCAAGGATGCGAATACACTACTAAAAATCCTGCGATGCTCTTTGGCCCAGAATGGGAATTGGGCCAAAGATGAAAACCTCACTTTATATATCTCTCGGGCTGCTGTCATCCAAGTTCACAGAAATCATGTGTGTGGTATGTCTTCATATTTGGAACTTGAATTCAAGATTTCCTTTAGCTCAAATACACTCTGCTTATCTTCTTCCTACTCTTTATGAGGGACAAAAATCCTGATGTCTGTCAACAATGAGTGGTAAGAGTGACCATCCTTAGGCACAAGTCACTCACGCATGTGCATGTGCACATGCACTTTCTCGCCCCTGGCTCCTAGGAGAGGCACTCTGACTGGACTTTTGAAGTCGGGAACTGCAGGACAATGAAGTAAGGGAGTAGCTATGGCCAACCCTCAAGAGGTCGCCATGGCAACAAGGGCCAACAAAATGCTGTATTGAGAATACAATTGAAAACGTTTCTTGGTACACAAGCACGGAATGCCTAACCTGTACTACCCCAGTATTTATCAACAGCGCCTGCGCTGCTTTTTAACTGTGGAGCTGCCTAGAGCCACCTAACACCTCACAGAACGGTGTGATAGGTGCGGACTGCGCACTTGTGGTTTCGAGAAAGCTTATTCTTTGACAAGCTTATTCTGATGCCTTCCTTACTGGGTAGACAACCTTTGCCTCACACTCAACCACTGCCTTAGACTCATTCAGGTGACAACTGCCAAGAGAAGAGAGACAGAGGGTGATGTGAGCCTTGAGCAGCTTAGGAGCCCAGTCTGCAGAGAGACACTGTGTGTGGTTGTCCCTAAAGTTTCAAAATGCATAGACAAGGCAGTCTTAGTTTACACAGCAGATATTAAACATCTTAGTGGCTGTTCAAGCCACAAGTAGAAATGGAGTTGAGAAAAAAGTAACAACAAATTAAAGAATGGCAGACATGTGAGGCAAGGCCACTGAAATTTGACTTCCTGAGGACAACCACACCAGAACTAGAAACAGACAAAAGTACTAGGTGAGTGTGGCAGCTGGTAAGCAAAAACATTCCATTTCTCTATCTTACACATATCCGTTCCAATATGCAATTTACAGTTAGTGGCTCATATGCTGGAAAGGGTATCCCTGGAAACAGGAACACATTTTCTCTTTGTGCTCAGAGGTACACCTCACTGATTGATTTAACAAACATTTCTTGGATGCCTACTCTGTTCTAGGTAGCGTTCTAGGTGTAAGGAATCCATCAGTGATCATGACAGATAAATCCTTGCCTTCCTAGTGAAGGGGCAAACAAACCAGTAAAACCCAGCATGCCAGATGGAGACAAGTCAGCTGTGTAACATAAAAGAGGGAGACAGGAGGTACAAATACAATTTAAAATAGATGGCCAGAGACATTCTCTATAACAATGTACCATTTAAATAAACACCTGAAGGTGAAGGAGCAAGTACAAGAATACCTGGGGGAAGAGTATTTAAGGCAGAGGAACCAGGAGGTCCAAAGGAGACAGCATATGGACCATTCCAGGGATACTGAGAACGAAAGGGTGAGTCAGGAGGAGAGGTGGGCGAAAGGGACAGAGAGGTGCACAAGGCACCACCCTGGCTTCCGAGCTGTTGTTAAATGGCTAACAGTGGCAGTATTAAGTGTTGAGAAGTGGTCACACTCTGGAAATATTTCTAAATGACAGAACTTCCTGTGTGTGAGAGAAAGAGGAGTCAAGGATTTGGGGCCCGAGAATTCAAAGAATGAACTTGCCATTTACCACAATGGAAAAAAGACCATGGTTGGGGCAGGTAGTTTGAGGAAAAAGGGTTTCTGTTTTGGATGCACAGCTCAGGTGCCTACCAGACATTCAAATAGAGGTAGCAACTATGTTGGAAGTGGGTCTTGAGTTCAAGAAACTAAATGAGCTGGAGATGAAAAGCAGTATCACAATGATTCGTAGTTAGTCCTTCTGCCTTTAACTGGATCTTATGAACTAGAATGCCTCAACCCTCTGGGACTCTCTTATAACAGAGAAGTGGCATGTAATGGCCAAAAGACCACCTGATTCTCATTCCTGCTCCTGACTAGCTGTGTGACTTGTCTTGAATAAGCAACTTAACCATTCTGAGTCTGTTTCCTCACCGAGAGAAGGGGGCTAACAGGACTCCTGAAGCTTTTGTGAGGCATTATTACCCAGATAACATTCGCAGAGACTTTAGACATTACCTGCTACCACCCCAAATGCACCACCAGGACAATCATTCATTATCATTCATGCATTAGGGTAGCTCAATCCGAAACCTCAGACCTGCCTCCTACAGCTGGAGCATGGAATGGGGACCTGAGGCCAGACAGGTAGATAGCTTGCCCGGAATTTTGCACTTAGAAACGGAAGGAGCTAAAAATAGGCCTGGGAAGTTAAGAAGCAATAGACTATCAACACCACTGTTGATTTAAGCAGACATCAGTTTACTGAGTGCTTCTCTGAGAGCTTAGGAACTGTAACCTTGTCAAAAACGCTCAGGTGGGATATCAGTGACCCACAGAGAAGGGAATAACATATTCCCTGTCGGCCTCGCTGTCTGTTAGTTCAACAAAAAAAAAAGACCAAAAGCAGCCAGGGATTTCAGCAGCCCACATCCTGCAGCGCGGCTGAAATGACGGGAGATGATCAGACCGCCACGAAGGAGCCGGGGAACAGGCGGGAATGGGGGGTGGGGGTGGGCCCGAGGTCAGGGCGGAGGCTGGGGGTTTGTGAAAACAGACAGGGCGTCCTCGGCGTGGGGAAAGCCTGAGGAGAATGAGGACCCCACAGGATTAGGGGGTGGCTCGGCTGGGTAGGCAGGAGGGAGAGAGGGCAAGACCGGGTCTCCCAGAACGAGGGGGCGGGGAGGGAGCGAGGCGCACTCCGGCCCACGACCAGGCCCTAAGGTCTATTTACATCCGAAGCCCAGGCATTCAGACCGCGCCTCCTACCCCCTTCCACTCCCGACCTGGCCTGCGAAGCGGAAGAGCCTGAAGGCCGCGGTGCCAGCGGTCTCCCAGGCTCTCGGGTCGGACTGTGGCAGGGCTGGGACTGCCGGGAGTGAAGGGGCCAGTGAACCCGGCCCGAGGGGACGCAATGGGGGGCGGCTGCGGGGCCCGCCGGGTCGCTCTCCCGAAGCTGACGGGACGTCCGGACCCCGCGCCGCCCACCCATCAGGTCTGTGAGCCCTGAGCCTCCCGCCGCCCGTCCCCTGACTGCCAGCTGGCCCCCGACGGCGCCTCCCCTACCTTCGTTCGCCAGGTCCGCCATTTTACTTCCTTAAGCCCTCCCACAAGGCTCCGCGCCGGCCCGGGCTCGCCTGCTTTCGGCCAGAAACTCCCCGCGCGTGCGCACTTCCCAAGCCGACTCCGAGAGAGGCAAGCAGTTTGCGCCTGCGCGCTGAGCCCGACTTGAAGTCGAACTCGGGATCGCCGTCCAGACCTGACCAAACTCCGAGCATGCGCCTGCGCACTCACAGCCCCCGCCTCCTTTTCCCGCCGCACGAAGGGGCGCGGGCAAAGTGGACGCATGCGCAACAGGCGTCGCGCGGCTGGCTGCGCGGGAGCCAACTTTCTGTGAGATTCCGCGGCTGGAAGCGGGTCTTGACGCCCCTATTTTACGCTTTTTCCTCGGAAGTGGCCCACTGTGTGTGTGTGTGTGTGTGTGTGTGTGTGTGTGTGCGCGTGTCAGCCATCGAACGAGATCTCCTAGGTATATCCCCGAGTCTGACTGGGGGCTTTCCTCACGAAGCCCCTAGGCGTGAGGGAGAAATCTGAGGGGAAGACCTGTGGAAAGCCCGTCACGTTGTGCCTCAGTTTTCCCTTCTGAGAGTCCAGTGTGTTCGGCAGACCCTTTCTGGCGGCCACGGAGGAAAGCGGGGAAGTGGGGTTGAACAGAGGACCGTCGTCATGTGAGAGGGTGTTGTCTGGGGGAACCTGTGCGGGGAAGCCAACCTCTGAGCCCAGGATGGGAGCCAGGGGACGGCCAGACCCTGACCCCAGTCGGATGGGAGCCTGGAGCCCCGCAAGCTTGGGGGTCCTGCCGGCCAGGCTCGCTCTCGGCGCCTGCTGGGAGCCTGTCTGCACCCTGTGGACCCTGCCTCTCCAGAATAGGCTGCCGTCGCCAGGGGGTGGTCAGCGCCCCTTTAGCCACAGGGGTGCGTGTGTGGATGGGGGTACTCCACGGCACAGCCCCGTATGTGGGGCCTGTTGGGGCCCCCGGGGTTTTGGTCTCACTCAAACACACCCAGGGGCGCAGCCGTGTGCGGGGCTTTCTGCCCACCTCGGGTCCCTTCCGGGCCCTGCCCATCGCACTGCCTCGGGGGCGGCCCCTGCTCTGCCTCCCCTGGGGCCCTGCATGGCCTGTTGGTGCTGCAGGCCGTGGGCCACCCCTGGCTGTGAGCCAAGAGTGGTTTTCTGTTTTTAACTGGGCCGGGGAAAAGCAAAAGACTACCCCTGACGGGTGAAAATTGTACAGAATGGAAAGTTCAGTGTCTATAAATAAAGTTTTATTTAAAAACAGCCTGACTCATTTCCGCGGATAGCTACACAGTGCTGTGCCTCAGCCTGTTGCGCCACCAGGGAGGGCCTAGGACATGTGTCTGCGTGGCTGCCCTGTGCATGTCTGGGCAGCTGAGGAGAGGTGGTAGACACTGAACAACTTTTTCCAAGGGAGAATGTGCGTGTCAGTAGATTTGTAAATATGTGTATGAAATTAATTATGAATCTTACTGATACTTCATCACTTCTAGAAGACAATAAAATACTAATTTGAACCTTGGTTTGTAGTGCTGGTTTTCAGGCATGACTAATTTCAGGTTTCTAACGTGTCACCACAAAGTTGGGAATAGGTGCAAGTTGTGCATTAGATTTTTTCCCTAATACTTGCTACTTTGTGGGTGTGGTCCCCAAACCAGCAGCATCAGCATCACTTGGAAATTTGTGAGAAATACAGAGTCTCAGGCAGCAACCAGACTGAATCAGACTTTATGTTTTAACAAGATACCCAGGGTTTCCTGTGTCTATTAGATCTGGAGCAGAACTGTTCAGGAACTTTTGATTGAAATGTTCATTTATTGTTGGGGTAGGGTATACTTAATATCATTAAAAATATCTTCTCCTTTATTTAATGGACACCCTGATTCTGCTACCCTAGATTTTGCCACAAGGCAATAAAGCATGAGCCACAACCTTGAGTTAGAAGTTCTCCAGGAACAGGGCCTTGCTGGTGGTGCAGGGGCTAAAGTTGCAGCTATCAGGCTATCTTCACCTCTGCAGCCCAAGTTTGATCCCTGGCCAGGGAGTGACCCACAGGGCACAACAGACCTCTCCTGTCTCCCTGCTCTTCCCCTCAGCAGTGGATTTCAGTCAATGCCTGTTCTGCTCCCCACTCTGATGAATCCTCTCACCCCCTGCACCTATGACCTACACCCCCGTTCTTGTACGCCTAAATATATAAGAATAAATCTTTAAAACAAAGTTCTCCAGGAATAGCTAGAAGTCTGTGTTAGGAAGTACCCTGGGGCTCATCACGTCCATCTGGTCACCTATAGCATATAGACTTAGGTTTCCTCATTTGGGATTTACTGGTGCATTAGATTCCATTGTATATGATTTCCCCCTTATGGTAAGCTGTTTATTATAAAGACACATAGCTTGCTGTTTTTAGTAATGTGTCTTTAGGGCAAATAATTTCTTATGACAACAGTGATAAACTAAAACCACAATTGGCTGGCTGAATTCTCACCTTTTGATTGAGGATGAAACTTTCATTAATCCAGAGCTGCAGAATCAGAGATGATTTTAGTCAACTCTTACAATGACGTCAAGCTTGGCAGGTGTGATAGAAAGTTGAGTCAGTTTGTCAGTTCTTGTAGTGTTGCCCATGGCCATCATCTGGTGCTGTGTTTACTTGTAGAGGATTCCTCCAAGAGTAGTAGATAGTGTTGGCCAGATTACATCCTTGGTAATTCTGAATCAGTATCACCGTAGATGCTCAGGCTCTCAGCACTTGCAATGGTATAAAGAGAAAAGAGGGGCTAATGCTTCTATAGATGACAGACCTGAGTCAAAAGACGATAGGCCCTTCAAATTCATATCCAGAATTTAATAGTTTCTATCTCCAAAGGTAGGGGGCTTTCTCCCCACCTCTTTGTTACAGGAAATGTCAAGCACCCCCTGGCTTTATCCCCAGTGCCAACAGTGTCACTCCTTGTCCTGCTATGTGCGTGGCCACCTCATTTTTCATCTGCCTGGCAACCAAGGAGAATCACCACAATGCCCTTGATCTGAGCATACCCCAATGGAGGTCTTTCTTGTTTTCAGGGGTCTGCATGCCAGCCTTTGCACACAGATCAAAGCTCCTGTTCCTTCTGCACAAGCTGGTCTCAGCTTGGGTGGATTTTGCTGCTGCCACCATTTTCATAGTTTGGTCATTTTCTGAATGTTTTTGATTGACTTTAGCGGCCTGATTTTGAAAGTTGCCGTACTTTGAACTTGTATCTATTGTGGCTGCAAGGCCCAGGCAAGGAGGTGAGCAGCTCCTGTCGAGAGAACATGGTGGTCCTGGGCCTGCTGAAGGCCGATCAGCACACGTAGCTTCTGGGGGGTGGGTCTTGACCTGTGCATACTTCTGCACCCACTCACCTTGAGTGAACTTGTTACTTTTCTTTATATGCATTTTTATTAGTTTAAATTTTCATTCAATACCATATATCATCATTTAAAACAGAAAACCACTAAACCATGAATTGGAAATAATATATTAACCAACATGAAAACAAGTAATTAAATTCTGGGTAGATCCTGTTGCCTGGCAAGGTGCTGAACCCCAAGCCTGCTTTTCCTTTGATTCAAAGAAGGATTAACAAAGTATTAGCGGTGTATTAAAAACATCACTCAACTGGAGCTTTCTCCTTGACTTGAGTGAAAGAAAATTGAAAGTGTAATAACTATAATCCTTGCGACTTGGTGTCATTTAATGCCATGTCTACACATCTAAAGTCATTTTATGCACCACATTCATTCCACACTTTGGGAAACTCCCAACAACATGTCATCACTTGCTAAATATAATGCAGTTGCGGTTCTCCAAGGACATTGACACGTGCTAACCCTATCAGCCGGATGAGTTCAGACCCATAGTTTCTACAGTTTTCACCAGTGCCAGTGGCGGCCAATGACTGCAAAGACCTTCCTTTCCTTGCTTTACCTGGTTTCTTCTAGCAAGGTAACTTTGCCAATACTTATTAATGAAATACTGTTGAGCGCCTGAAGTGGTGGTTTGAAAATATAACCCCAAATTCTTTGGTCCTCTTCCCATTTCTGTTCCCTTAATAAGTTAGTTGGTCATTGGTGGAGCAGAAGGGTTCAGTAGAAATGACACTATGAAAGGTGGAGACCGGGTCACCACAGGGATGAGACTCCAGCTAGCTCTACACGAATGCTCACTCTTAAAGTTTTCAGCCATTAGCTAAAGCACTCTTAACTGTCCTGAGGCACTACACAGTTACCTATTGCAAGGAGGATACATTCTGGAAAAATAGGACATTAGGTGACATTAGGTAACATCATCATGATACACACACACATATACCAAGTCTACTATAAATGCAAGCCGCATGTATACCCTGTTGGGGCCACCATTGTACAGGGGGGTCCATCCTTGACCAAAACATCATTAAGTGCTTGCAACTGGGAGGAAGTTGAGGTCACAAATGCAAAGCCCTGAGGAGTAAGAGATGTCCAGCCATCCCCAGATGTTCCAGCTGCAGCCGCTGACTGATGGCACGAGTGACCCAAGTCCAGAGAGATGAGCCCAGCCGAGCCCTTCCCATTTCTCACCCACAGAAACCACGAAACAGTTGCTATTAGAAGCTTCACACTGGGGAGACATCTGTGGAGCAGCGCCATCTACCCACTGCCCCTCCTATGCTTCAGCAGGCACTGTTCTACACGTTGGGGGTGCCAGGACAAATAAGATAGACCTTGTATTAATGTAGTCTCCTCTGGGAGACTGACCATAGACAGGTAGCAAAATTGAGATAGTGACAAGTGCTTCCAAGAAAACACACTGTGAACATTGTGACAGTTAACAGAAAAAGGGAGTACTTTAGATTGATGTTCTGAAAGCAGATCTTTAGGAGAAGCTTTCTAGACAGACCAGTGAGGGCAAAGGTCCTGAGGCAGGAAGCAGCTTGATGAGTTGGAGGAACGCTGAGGAGTTCAGTGTGACTGGGGCAAGGTGAGTGAGGGTGGAGGTGAGAGTTGAGGGCAGGGAGATACATGCAGCACCTTGCAGGTCACAGTGATGAGTCTGCGTTTCTTCCTAG